CATATACACATATTTACGCATATAAGTTCACACATTCAGTTCGTTTTATCGGTTTTATTATGCACTTTTATAAAAATTCTTCGCTTTTCACTTACTCTTCTTGTCACGAACGTATGCATAATATTTTCTATATCATTTATTTGCTTTCTTTTTCTTATAAACATTTTCTATTTAGTGTATTACATATATTTGTGAACCTTTGATTTACATGTATTTGACTAGATTACATATGCGATTAAAGCTGAACAAATATTATTTTCAAAAACAGCAAATGCTCCCTTCTGATTGAGCACAACACCTGTGTAGTTATACTTAATACATTAAAGAGCATAACTGTATGTGTCACGCATGCGACTAAAGCACACCATAACCGTTATATTTTTTTCAAACTAATTTCATAATTATTTACTACCTCATATTACAATATAGATATATCAAGTCAATGCAAGACATTGGTTAGGAAAACTTCCCGCTTTCCTTACCTTCGCACAGCAATTAGCTGTAATCTTTCTGGGATAGATTATAAATGAAACATATATAATTAAAAAGAAAAAAAAAAAACAAAATTTAATTAAATAAATCTTTAATTAAAAAATACGATTATAGAAAATGAAAATATAAAGTAATTTTAAGTTGATTAATGCTTTACCAAATGACGACAACGGCCTAGAAATGATAATAACAGCTAAACATTCTATTCTATTTTCTTCACAAATCCTCCGAATTTTTATTATTAATTAATAAAGCAGTTTCTTTTTTAACATTAATCGTATCATGTGGTTTTATAAGAAATCATGCCACATTGTGACCTTCAGTCGCCCATAAGAATCGTGGGAACAATGAAAACATTTTTCTTTTGTTTTATACATTCAAAGAAGGTATATATATACAGTCAAACCTGTTTTTGTGCGGTAGATAGGGACCGCAGAAAAAAAATCGCACAAAAAAATATATTCAAAAACTTCATAAATAACTATAAGAAATAATTTTTCACAGCATATTAAAGAAAATTTTTTTTATGCGGTAGAGAGGGACCGCATAAAAAAAGTCTCACTTAGAAAATATGTCAAAGCTTCACGAAATAGCAAGAAAGTGCGTTCCAAACAAAATAAATAATTGAATTATTATTATTATTAATTTCGCCAGAGAAATAAATTCTAAGACTAAACTCTTAAAAGCACTAGCACATCTAAGGCTATCGGCTTTTTATTAAAAACTCTACCGCACTTGAGATTCGAACCCACGACCATTGACTTGCTAGTCGAGATTCCTCCCCTTCGGCTACTCAGGCGGATATAATTAAATTACACATTGAAACATTCAAAAAAATTTTAATTTCTAATTTTAAACAAGGAGAAATTTTTAAAATGTACATAATTCAATACTGTTCGTCGTAGTTCAAAACGCGCATATTTTTGCGACGAACTGGTTCGTAATCGCTTTCGTCACTTGAAGATACTACAGTTGATTTATTTTTTGTTAACATGTAGTCGGTGATAAGTTTTTGCGACGACGGTCGTTTGGTCAGCTGTTTGTTAACGTCGCGATAGCCAGATATACACAATCGAAGCTCTTTTTGGAATTTCAAACTTCTTTGAGAATTGTTATCTATTTTAAGAAAATGCTTTTCCAATTTGCTGCAAAGCTGGATCCCTGCATATATTTTATCCGCTGTAATAGATTCCGGTTCCTCTTGTCCGTCTTCATGATCTGTTAAGTTATTGATAATGTCACTATCATTGATCATTGATCACTGATAGCAAAAAAAGTGATGCCAACACAGTTCAGATTGACCTAACCTCTCGGCGAAATTCAATGTGTCGATATTCATACACCGCACAAAAAAAGAATCGCACAAAAAGAATCGCACAAAAAAAGCGCATAAAAAAAGACCGCACAAAAACAGGTTTGAGTGTATATATAAACATGAAAAAGTATACACAAAGGCCATAAGATTTTTATGACCTATCTTGCTGATGATAGAAGGATACATTCAGTTTCTGCGGATATATGCAAAACCACGGAAGACATGAGATAGACTAACATTTTATTATAACAAAAAAGTAATTCTAAATTGATTCAAGCTTCCCTGTCCATCTAAAGTTTTTGTCTTTAACCTATACGATGAAATTTGATACACTGACGGGTTTCGATCTAAAAACGAACTACTGAAAATGGTTTGAATCGTGGCACGTTTTCGATCCACAGAACGCTTTCCTTCCAAAGTTTATAATATAAGTAATTGTATGGCGGTGTAGGACATTTAATTGTGGATCCTTACCCACTATAGCGTTTTTACTTGTTTAGAAATGCAATACTAAATAATTAAAAAAAGTTTACTTCGAATTTTTAATGTAACTCAACGACATTTGGCGGTTCGATTAGTATTGATCGGAAAATTTACGAATTTTATAAACAATTTTTTTTTTGCACAAATGCAATGCACGTAAGGTAAATATAGAATCTGTACATTGTTTTATTAATGGAATTCCGAGAGATGTCGTCTGTTCAATATTGAGCAAGTCCAGCACATGACGAGAAATTTACAATATGTGGCAGATGTTTTAAGTAAGCATTGTTGAAGCTCTGTGCAGGTGAATTTCGTAAATTGATCAGTCAATGGAGATATTAATTAATTAAGAGATCAAAATTATGTGCCGAACTTTACGTGAAGGGATAAAAGAAAGTGGTTGAGTATTGTATTGAATACTTTCGTTTTACTATTCGAGAGACAATGTCAAGGTCGAAAACTCTGCTATCAGCTGGATTAACTCTTTGTTCTCAGTAAGTAACAGTCATATCTCGTAAATAATTCTCACAGTAAGTCGTATAAAAAAACGAAATCGATTCAAAGGAGCACAAATTGGCGAAGGGAAAGAACGGCACATCGTTAACTTATTCGTCAATTTTTCAAAAAATAACGATCTGTATTGAGCGAGCCAATGTGAAGAATTCTGAAATTTACTACAATGTTTAGAACGGGCGTAATTATAAGATTAGTGCTACAATTAGATAACCATAATTCCAAAAAAAGAATACTACAGTTAGCTAAGTGGGGAGCAGTTTGTCTCTGTTTGGTTAAAAATTCTAAGGTCTATTACTTAGAAAGTGATTCATAATAGATGTGTAGAAGATCCGTAGAAGCCAATGCTATTAGCCGTAGAATATAAAATAATTCAAGCAAGAGCTTTAACATTAATTACATGGAACATGCGGAAGGCCGTGCAGGTAATGGCATGAGTTATGCATGGCATTAAATGACTATATTTGATATGAATTGCTTACAACCGAAAAGACCTACATAAAAGCAAGTTAGAAAGTTTATTCGGTCGCAATATTAAAATGATAAAAGTGTTACTCGGAATTGTTAGCACAAAATTTACTTAACTAATACAAGTTTTTTTCAATTAAAAAGTGCAATCATTGCATGATTAGTGATGCGTATCCGAATCGGTTAATACCCGATTGATAGAACAATATTGAAAAGCAATTACGTAACAATATCTTGAAGTTATTTGATAAATTTATTTTTATGCGAGTAGGGCACGGTTTGCTTTAACGGATTAAACGTGTATTCTAGACAAAATACTCACCTGTGGCTTTGTGTTTATCCTATAAACGGTGTCGCAGAATTTTCATCTTTTTTTTTTCGCTAATTTCATTTAACCATAATTGAATTATCTAAAATTATTAAATGAAATACTATTAATTTTTCAAAGCAACAATTCTTTTAAATTTGAAAAATCCCGTAGAAATTCCCTTTTTTATATGTTGTGGGTGTTGTTTTGTTTTTTTTGTTTGTTATATTTTCATAAGCTCTCTGTTTAAAACTCCGAACATTTTTCTGTTTTTTTTTTCTCATTTTATGACATTTGTTACTCTATTGTTGCTATAGTTATATTGTCTGCTGCCGGTGTTCCTCTTTATGTAGTTGTTATTGTTACTATTATTGTTACTTGTGTGTTATTATAAACTGTACAAGTCGTTCTTGTTTTTAAGGCATTGTCCAATGCAGCAAATATACGTAATTGTATGAAATTGTTTTCTGCTATAATATGAATTTAGCCGCTTGGTTGGTTGGTCGGTTGGTCAATCTAAATGTTCCTCTGTCACTACTGGGGCTCTTTCAGTGTTGTGTTATTGTGATTATTTTTCTTTTTTCTCCGTTATCCAGATAACTCATCTTTTGCATTCATGGCATTGTGTCAGCCTTGTCTTACATTTTTTTTAGAATTATTACTTGTTTTTTTTTTTTGTTATAATATTCTTTTTTTTTTTTAATATTTCTTTCTCTATTAATACCAAATCCACTTGTGTAAGCTGCTTTTGCTTATGGGTTATATTTTTCATTTTTTTTATGCTTTTTGTCTTCATTCTGCTGCGGCTGATGTTACTCTTGCTGCTACTGATGTTCTGTGATTGTTGGAAATGTTGAAATTTTTGATAGACAATGTCATTTTTTATTCCTTTCTACGGTTGGAATCATCTTTCTTCCTTTTCCGTTTCTTTTTTCTCCTTCTTCTTCTTTTTCTTTATTTTTCATTGTAAATTGCAAAGACTTTGTGTGTCTGACTTAAAGTGCCATTTTATGTTCATGTTTAGCTTAGAGGCTCATGCATTCGTTCATTTGTAAAAAAACTCGAAGGAAAACTTCTTTTATTCAGAAACATCAGAAAATGCTAGGTTAACTATTTTGGTCGGTCTGCACTATGTCTATACTTTTTAAATCAAGTGCTGAGTATTGTAATTGAAAGGTTCACCTTATTCTACCTTTGGGGTACCTTGATTCTTTTTTTAATTGAATTCGTATATGTCATACTTTATATCATTTTTAAATAAGCTTTAATAAGTTTTAAATAAGTTACGATAAGTTGAGTCTATAACGTCTAATGAGAAATAAAAAAAGTCATTTCGTTTTATTTCCAATTTTTTCTCTTTTGTCTAAAAGGAGCATCGTTCTTAATGAGAAGGAATTTTCTTTTTTTTGATAGATGATTCAAAGACTAAAATTTTACTGTTTCGATAGCTTAAAGAGTTTTGCTTTCAGGAAAAATCAAGGACGGAAGGATTTTCTGAATTGTAAAGTAAATGAAGCAATAGTTCGTTTAACTATTTGTTGAAATATAAAATTTTTTCCTTTAAATGTAAACGATACAGCTTTTGTTCAAACCCAATGTGCGCGTACATACATTATTGTATGTTAGGTATTTAACCAGCCACGTCAGGAATTTTTATATGATGACAGTTTTTCGTAGGCTGTAAATCTTCTGATTATTGGTGCTTTCGTACGTTGTCTTGTTCAACAACAATTATGATTTGTGCTCGAGTTTTGGACATTTCTGACTTTGGTATTGTTTTACCGAAAATTATAAAATTTCCAAAATGTGTTCATAACAATAACGAATTGTTAACCTTTCCCTCAGCATTATCGGTGATTTTAGTTTGCTACCTTAATCCTCAGTAAAATATATAAAATTTAATGCGTATATCTCTTTTAATGTCTTATCTTTTTTTTTAGCCTTATGCAATTCTCGGTTTGGTTTTCTGCTGCAATCTACAGGTATGTGGTAAATGTATTTTACAACTTTTTTTACAGTCCACCTCGATTTTTTGCCCTCATTAGTGTTAGCGCAGAAAAGGGTTGATCGTCGCTATTGTATACGTTACCGCTATGTGGTGATGATAAAATTATGAAAAATTGCTTTTGGAATTTGTAAGTAAATGTTTACGCACATTTAAAGTGTATCAGTAACATGCACTATGTCAAGCAGTCAGGTGGAGAAGGTTCATTATTTATGTTGTGATATGCCTTTGTGATATCTTTTTTTACTCGTGCTCTGTCCAACGAAATGTCTTTGTTTAAGACATTTAGTCATCATTGCTGCCAATCATCAAGCAGCTTAAAAAAATGGTATAAAAAATCATTAACACATTGTTACACTTCCACAAAAGATTTTCTTAGAAATTATAAACAGCAGTATAAACTGTATTGAGAGTTTTGGTCAAATGAACCGAACATGTTCCTTTATCGTTATCGTGGACACAAAAATCGAGTCGAGAAACTTAAGTGGTCCTTTCCATTCATTTCTTAGTTGGTTTTTTCAAAAAATTATAAAATATCTTCCTTACCACAACAATGAAAGTCTTTGCCTATCAAAACTCCAAATGAGAGAAGAGTGCGGCCAAGTCACTGATAAGATAGGATTTAATGGTTAATGTTGTCTTGCAAATTTCTTCTTTTTACTGTTTTTCCCTTCTTATTAAGTGATTTCTTACACATTCAAAAATGATATTTGAAAGGTTTTATGGAGGCGAACATCTTCATATGGTCGTAAGAGTCGGTGTTTTGAGTGAACCTATAACAAGGGTACGGCGCCAGCTCAAGTTCACTTTTTGAACGTTACCGGCTTATTCGGATTTATAACTTTGAAGTGTAACTAGGGCACAGAGACAAATTTGTATGAATACTGTCCACCATCGTCGCGTTCTTCGATTTAGGTCTTTAGCGGCAGTTGTCTATTTGGAAATTTCAAAAGTACATTACCTGCTAAGTGTCTTGCGTTCCATGAAGATGTTATATGGAAAACCTATAGCTTAATCTTATTTGAAAGACATGAAAAATCTTGCTTATTTATCGTATTAGTATATATATTCATGATCTTCTTATTCTGCTTCTACGTTGTACTTCTGTCCCATGATAGCAATAATTGGCTTATAAATATGAAAATTAATATGGCCGTGCCGAAGTAAAGTCTGATTCGTTGATATATTTTTCAAGGTGCCTACACTAGTAGCATAAAAAAAAAAATTAAATTAAAAGCAAGCAAGCACATTCTAGTTGGACATGGGCGAACATTAAATACCCTACACCACCTTGTTTAATACGGTTATTCATATAATGGACTTTCAACATAACAGGGCATTATATGGGAAGTGGCTGGAAAAGAGTTCCGATCCGAATCAAATTTCATCAAAATATCTCAAAAAATTGCGGCTTGTAGGTTGAAGAAGAAAATGCAAAACGAACGCACAAACAGGTTTAGAAAAACTTTCGGAAATTTGGGTCTATCTGAAGTACTTCTGCCGAAACTTAATGTATGTTTGTCCAACACGTGGTGTAGGGTATTATAATAATAATAATAATAAAAAAGGCATCTAAAGTTGCTTACAGAATATAGCAGCTACCGACTTAATATTTGATAAAAGTATATAAAAAACGGGACGGAGGTCTGCATTGTCTAAATAGTAAATCCACAACGCAAAAAGACGTACGATTATTTATTTGTTCTTATAGCCCCGCGTCGCTAATGTGATCGTCCTTCTTTTTCGCTTTACTCTTACCCTCAACTCAATCTATCGCGTAAACCTTAAGCATTATTTGGAATTTATCAGCTTTATTGGCAATGATCAAAAAATTATATACATTGTGTGCAACAAAACAATGGTCCGACTAAAATTTTTATATTGAATAGCTTAAAGAATTTAAATGGCATCCATACTAAGGGGTCACAGATGAAAAGCTTTACGTTAGAAAAAAAGGGAAAGACTCTCATAAATTCCTTAAGGGAAAGTAATTGTGAAAAAGTAGGTAGCCTTTAACAACCCATTTAAATTTGAGTTTGTTTTCACTCACTTTTCAAGGAGACTACTGCACTTGAGATGCTTTTCCTTCTTTTTATTCTCCTTTTTTTATGCTTTCTCTTTTATTTTTTCTCCTTAAATACGTGTTAAGAAATTTCTGGTCGACTTTACGGAACTTAGCTCATCAGTGCATTTATTTGCGTTTGTGCCCCTACATACAGTAGGTTAATGAATAAAAAAAAAATAAATAAATAAAAAACAAACCAGTATATATGCAAATTTTATATGCAACCTAGTCGCCCAATAGAGCCATGCTCTAGCCCAAGGCAAAAACAAGTGTATGTTGCACTCACTTTTCTTTTTGCAATTTTCTTCTACTACTTCTTTTATTTAAATTTCAAGTGTACCTCCACGTACGTATATACACATATATGCATCTATGCGAGAAATGCATTTTACATGCAGCCTGTAAGAAGAGTGCATGCATGCATATACTTTTTAATCATATGCAGTCTCGTAAAGCACTCTTTGTTGACATCTCGTGTGCTCGCCTAACTTTTATTTAATTCCTTTTCTGCTTCTCGTTCAATTTCTTTCACTTGCGTTTTTTTTTTTTTTCCTAAATGGAACAATAAGCACAAAACTGCATCACGTTGTATCTAGAAAATACAAACTATTTCTTGCATGGAAATTGCATTTACATACTGCTGTTGTTGTTGGTTTAGATTATAATGATGTTGATAATGATGAAAATGATGATTGTGTTGAAGTTGATGTTGACGATGATATTGATGTTAATTGTGTTGATGGTGATGATGTTGTTGATGTTGTTGTTGTTGAAAGTCGTTATTGTTGGATGCTGCTGTTGTTGATGTGTTGTTGTTTGCTTTGTTGTTGTTGTTAATATAATAATGACGGCACAATGATGATGATGATAATGACGTTGACAATGACACCGTTAGATTTTAAAGGTTATTTAAGAAAATATACATATACACGTATATATATACATATATATATTTTTTTTTCAACAGAATCATCAGGTGTATTTCAAATGTCTGCGGAGGAAAAAAATATATTACAAGGTGAACAGTGTGGCAACACAACACAACACAAGCATACACATACACACACACACAAACTCTGTACATAATTTATCAATGTATATGAATACATGTGGAATGCATTTCACGTAAATACCTTAACGGTTGCATTTGTTAACTAACACAACTAAGTGGTAGTCGGTAGTAAATTCGCATATGAACGGATAGATATAAATCTACGTGAACTTCTACATGAAGTTGCTGTTCGCTCTCTTCTTACTTTTGCGTGTCATATTAGATACTTATTTTATCTTGCGTGTGTGGTTACTTTTTCTTTCTTGTTCTTTCAACAGTCGTTTATTTTTCAATTTTAATTAAAATAAAAATTTGCATAAATTATCTGAACAACGCAAAACTAGGCTAGAGAGCAAATGTATGTCAATAGGTGAGGAATTTTTCCATTCTGTCAACATCTTCTACTTCAAATAAAAACTTGATCAACCATTTTTTTATTTTCTTTTAAAAACCCAACTTATTAAAACAAATATGCGTCATTTTGATCGATAGACTTTTTGACATTCTTTTTCGCAAAACCATGAAACTATCATTGTAGACCTAGAGGCGCTTATAGACAAAATATTAATCAAATGATTTGCACAAAGCTCTTGTTAAGTCAGTTTTACAGCAATCAGTGAAGCATTAAAGATATGTATTGGCAATTTGGACAGCACATACATTCGAAGTGTTGCAGGAGGTTTCTAAAACGATGTAAAAATATATCCATGCAGCTGATATTCTCACCCCTCACATCGCCACACTCACCTGGTCTTGATTAAAATATAATTCGTTTGTGGAAAAATGTGAAATGTTGTCTGGTGTTGTTGGAATAGAAAACGGCTCCATCCTTATGGAGCAATCCTAAGCGCTTTAGTTCAAATGAGGGCCGCAATTGCATTCATTCTCCACAGGAGAGATTAAAATCGATTGTCTAACCAAGTTAAAGCATTTTTTAATGCAAGATTAATTTCCCATCCCACCGAAAAACACCCCCTTAACTTATGCGGCGTCAATTTTGGCTTTACCACCTGTTGGGCATCTTCATTGGTTTTGGGCCACGATGTATTTGCATACTGTTGTCTTATGGAATCACGTTTCATCGCTTGTCGCCGGTCCTTAAAACTTTTTACTGTCAATCATTGTGGTACCCAAATGTTGAACGACCGTTTTTGTATCTAAATTTATGCAAATGGCCCAGAACTGTTCCCTACCAATATCGTAAATGAAATGTGCAATAAGGTGTTGAAGAATTTCTTCGATTTTATCCTAGGATGCTTGATCAAAACGCGTTAAACTTCTTTCACTCTCAGTAGTTGAATTAAGTTTTTGGCACCTTCTTTAAAGGAAAGAGTATGAAATTTATTTAGGAAAAGGAAAATCGATATAATGTTTACAAGCGTTAAGCGATATATATATATATATATATCTACATATGCGCATATAGAAATTTACCATTGCAATCAGAACAGCCAAAAGGCTAAGAATATGGCTGACGCCTATTTGCATTTCAATAGATTGCAATTGTAATATATGCGTGGGTGAATGGCGTGGGGGATTGCAAAAACTGTTTACATATATATGTATATGGCATTTTGGCATTTTATTACCGCACTCACAGTGAATATAGTTATATTGTAGTGCGAAGGTCATTATACATATATATATATATATATATTTGTATTAGACGATACGAGGCTTTTTAAAAACTTGCGTAGGGATTGCCAATCTATTAAGCACTCATTTCACTGCTCTGTGAATGGATAAGTAACATGAGTATGGGCAACAGAAAGTGGGAGAGCACAGTTTCGCACCGTAGGTAAATTATAGATAATTACATTACTAAAGAAAAAAGCGTTGCCGGATTAAGTTAACAGTCATGAAAAAAATTTCAAAATATTGCTCCATGATGGAGTGATTTGTGAAATGGTTGCCACGCATTGAATACGTATAGCAGATCCCTTAAAGTAAGTAAGAGTATATATACACATATACTTTTGATGAATATGAATAATGGACTAAGCTGAGTTATGTCTGCTTTCTTACCTAGAAGGTAATTTAAGTTCGCGAATCATCAAAGTTGGTCCATTAACCTGTCTCATATAATAAATAATACCTCTTAATAATAAAACACTTATCCTTTTTGATCCCTGAAAATTGCAAAACTTTTAACTTATTGTGTTAAATCTAATCTTAAATATGTCCTTAATAAAATCATGTATGAACTGGGCGAAGTATGAGAATTTTGATTTTAGTTTACGTCAAATGTAATGGAAAATTATGCAAGAATACATACATACACTTTACGAAGTACTACTATATTAGATGATTGCTTGTATTTTAATTATTTTTTTATTTAAAAATGCTCTTATGGAGAAAAATTGGTGCAATCTATATTAATCGAAACCCAACCTTTTCTCCATCTACTTGGCAACATGACGATGCCGTGTGGAAAAGACGATATTGAATTGGCAGCGATCCAATCACCAACCCAGTTTGGCATTTCTTCAGCGCTTCGAAATTGCGTGCCAACCAAACCATGCTACATCGGTCTGAACAAGTGGTAATTAGAAGGCGCTATATTCGTTGAATACGCCGGGTGCGGCAGTATTTTATAATATTAAATAAATATTTCTGTGGCCGAGCGTTGCCATGCAAAAGGACGGCTTCGCTACTGCTGGCAACAATACAACGTACAATTTATTCAGCTGACGTAGATATGCATCTGCAGTAACAGTCTCACTCTATTTTAGCAGATTGTAGTACGCTACAACTGGGTAATTTCACTACGTGCATACCAAAACTTTATGACTGTAAATATATCCGCTCGGCGTCAATGTGGATGATCCTCTTGGACCCATGACTTTTTGCGCCTAGAATTATCGTAGTGAAAACACATTTTACCGGCAGTCCCTTTACGCCACAGAAAACTTTTCTATTTTTGCATGCCAAGCAATGAAACCGCGGTGTTGAAACGGCTCGCAGTTTCATTTTCAGTCAATTCATATGAAACAGTTGATTCATCAACTGCTAAATAGTCAGAAACTTCTTTGAGAGGTTGATCTCGCGTTTCGTGTAATAAGTGTTGCTATTCATTGTTTTCGAACTTTCCTGATCCTTCAGGCCGTTTCTTATTATTGACATCAAAATCACCAACTAGTGAAGCCAAAGCCGACAATCGGGATATGATGGAATAGCAGGATCATAATCTTCTAAAAAAAGGGGTTTCAGTAGTAAATTTTTTCAAATCAAACAACAAAAGTAATGAATGTTGAAAATGCAATTTTGGGTCTGTATACACTGGATAAGTCATTAATACTAAAAGGGAAACTGTTATTTTATATAGAGAAAGGTCCAAATCATCGAATTTGACGGTTGTTTACTTTGATACTTCGCATTATTTTATCATTCTATCATTTTCACCAATTGCTGATCAAAATACATGTTAGCACCTATTACTATACGTTACGTTATTTATTAACGGGCCAATTGATCTTCCTCCGTGTCTTTCAATTATATATCAGTTGAATGTAAATATTCTCTATTTCTAAATTCAGATTAGCTTAAAAAATGTTTTGTTTCTTTCCAAAAATCATACAAACTTGAATTAAAAATTTTGCTATTGACAGTAATCGGAGCAAAATCAAGTGTAAAAGTTTTTAATGCTTAGATTTTAAGTTCAAATCTATGAGCACTCGTGTAACGATAAATGACTTTTAACAACGCTGACTAGTAGATATATGGTAGATATATAATTTTTGGAAACCGCTTGTTACTCATTTTGTTACAATTACGGTAAACGTAAACGATAAATGACAAATGTGCCACTATCCAAGCCACCGTTGATTTAGTAAACTAACAGCCCGTTGATATGACTGAACTCGACCCTCCAGCCAGTCAAAGCGATCCGGCAACTCAATGTTTCTACTAGCTATAAACGTGTTTATAGTTGTGGTATTGTTTATAAAGGTTAAAGCAAAGAAAAATAAAAAAAAGTAAATAATAATAACAAAAGACGTATTAAAGAAGACAAGCTATATACAAAAAGAAAAAAAATGTTGAAACAAAGAGGAACTTATATACAATTATACTCGAAAACAAACAAAAACATGCGAAGTGTTTTCCGTCAAAGCCTTTAACAAAAACCAAAAAAAAAGAAAAAAAAAAAAAATAGAAAAACCATCAACTTCAATTTGAACGTATATATGAACGCTAACTTTGAAGGAGCTGCATTCAAGGGATATTGCAACGTTTTGCTTGATTTGATTTTATTGGTTCGGTTTTTGGAATTCTGTTGCTTCACTTTACTTATTTTGTCAACAACGTTGTGCTTTATATTGCTGACAATGACAACATTTTGAAGCGAATATTGTTTGTTCGGCAGCATATATACTTATGCTTATATATACCCACGCAGCGTTGAAAAAAAAAGCGCAAACATTTTTATATGTGTTCGTTTACAAAAATGTTTTTGCGTTCTTCTTTTTTCAGCATTTTTTACTAGCAATCCAATGGCTTTAATCCTAGGGTAGGTATGCGTAAATTATTTCCACAAAGTTGCATTTTCTTATTTGGTTTTTCAGCAGAAATAGGACAAAAAAAGGCAAAGCATACTTTTATTGCATTCTCACTTTGAATTTAATTCAATTATTTTTTCATTTTTTTTTTGGTTTTTTTGTATTTTATCTTTTTAAAACGAAGAGTAAGGTAGAGGTAAACTGTATTTATAATGTTATTTTGTTTGTAACACCTAACACGAAGGTCACAGTAGCGACATATATGAAAGCGCTTTAATTTTGTTTTCTTAAAAGCGTTGATCACGGTCCGAAGGTGGCGTAGGAATTATCAAATCATTAATTTTGATAAATAATTTCAATAACTTAGCATCTTAAGATCAAGAACTCGCCTATATTCATAAAGCCTGTATGAAAATTTGTAGTGGGTATAGTTCTAAAAGGTCCACTGATATATCTTACAATACAAATGTCATTTGTATTATGCTTTTAAAAAAATTCTTATCGTGTTCAATCCTTTTGCTTTATTGCTATTACGGCACATTCCTAGTGTCAGAGATGTTAATCTGACAGTGCCTGCATATTAAATGAGTAAACTTTGCATCTGAAAATTCTTAAATATGCATGGAATATAATAAAACGAAACCGCTGAATTAATCTGACACACATGTTTTCTTGCACTCGGTACATCGCCGATGATCAAAAGTATTTCTCTTTTGTTTGTTTCGCGAATAATAATAAAATGCTGAAAACGAGTGGAGACTATTGCGTGTGAGTAAAGAAAAATGTTTTATATAGTTTAAGAAATAATTCAGAGTGGTGGGTATCAAAGATCCGATCTCAAGCCGTTATAGTACACTCCACCTTTCTTCTTTTTCGGTTTTTGCATGCCGACAATAACTTACCCGTAAACATGCTGAATTTTGCTGACACAACGCATCTCTTGTTGTAAACTGTAAAGAAATATTAAAATTTTCGTATTAAATTTCATTATAAAATGATGAACTTGCGATATCGATCTTTGTTCTTAACAGGATAATTTTTTCTTTTTCTAGCATTTCTAAGGCGTGCATTCAAGACTGCTTACAGTAGTACTGAAGATTCTTTAAAATAAAACACTTTTTTAAGAAATATATCTACGAAAATCAGATCTTCACAAGTCTAGAGGTGCACCTGGTACCATTGAGGAGATTATCCTTGTCGTTTCGTATATCAAACAAATTAAATATAAAAATTAATAAGAAAATTATATACGGTCGGGACCGATTCTTCTATACTCATCACTGTTATCCTAAAAAAACCGAGAAAAACGAAAAGAACTACATTTTCACACTCTATCATATTGGCTGAGGTTGGCTGACTTTTTCGATTTTCTCTTTTATGTCTTACAATGCTTCTGCTAAACAGATATTACACAGATGGACAGGCAGACATACGTAAATCGAATAAGAATTTGCTGCTGGTGAATGTAAACACTTTGTGGGATCTTTGAAGCTTCCTCCTGGACATCGTAAACGTTTTGATAAAATGAACATACTCCTCATCCTTGGGTGAAGTGTGTCAACATGTAGCGTAACGCTGAGGATCATCAAAAGAAAACAACGCTTGCTCATAGGGAATAAAATAAGAAGATATTTATGAAGGCTTAAACTACTTCTCCAGCCATTATTAAAAAATTGAACATGTATATAATAATAGATTTAAACGATATAAGGAAATAATTTAACGAATGTAATAAAAATCAATAACGCAATGATTATTATTTCTTTTTTCCTCCAAAATAAAAAAATTGATTAGCTCAAATTAAATTAATTCACCCGATGATGATTGTAGAATGCGGTTTCACAAATTGGAAAAACAAAAGTTCTTATCCGCCTTGTGATGTTTTGATCTTTCAAATTGCTATTGAGCGTAGTTTGTGAGTTAAACTATTAATATTTAACTTTCCCCTCAGATTTCTTTTAAGTTTAACGTATTTTACACGACACTATTTCGATAGATAAAACTCGTATCACATTGTTATTCTATTTCTCTTTATTAATCATCTTCCTTATTCACATTCATTTATAAATTGGATAAATTCTCTCAAATTAATTTTTATATCATTACTTTTTCACAATTGAAACTTGCGTCTTTTGCTCAAATACTTTGTCCAAATTTTATAAAAGTTTCAAAAGGTCTTCGGAGAATAATACGAAGTGTGTCCGAAAAAAAAGTTGACTTTTTACTCTTCTTGAAAAGTATTCTCCCTTACATATGACACGCTTGTGTCGGCCTTTTTACCGATGCTCGAAGCGCTTCTCTCTTTTCAGTCTTTTCAATTTTAGGAATAGCAAAAAGTCGCGAGGGATCAACTCCGGTGCATACGGTGGTTGAAACATGATAGCGATATTGATTTTAGCCAAGAATTACGAATGAACAGTGACGTGTGAGCTGGAGGATTATTGCGTTGCAATATCCACAATTGGTTGTTCCACAATTCCGAGCGTCTTTTTCCGGTCGCCATTCCTTATTGACTGTACGACATTCTGACAAAAAATAGTGAGCAATACTTTCAAGGTTGAAAGAACTTGACATGCCTTTCTCGGTCTTGACCGTTTTTGGGGTGATTGGGCTTTGGTTTCGATGTCATAAGCATATATCCATGTTTCATCATTAGTTATGGTTCTTTTGAGCAAATCTAGATCGTCGGCATCAAAATATTTCATTTTCTGGTATCTCTAAAAGCCAAGACTGAATTTTAGGCATTAATTCTTGTTTCTATTTCGTACCAGTATCTATAAATGTTTTTTTTTTTGCATTTCATTTTTGAAATTTCAGAACAACTAACAGCCAAAACGTGCTAGATGAGGCTAATATGACGAATATTTAAGGACCGTTCTATTCAAATAAAATTTTCGAATATAGGGTTTGCTGGATAATTTTCTTGTAAAAATTCGATCTTAACGAGTGTCTTAATCGCAAAATTCCAGCGTAGACCAAGAACCCTTACGTACAGCTCTTTGGTTACAGAACTCTCCAATTTGTGGTAGTCGCAGTAAGCACGATCACAGTATTTACATTTATTCTAGGAAGCAGCAATTATAATTTTTTTCAATATAATTTTCGTACGCTTAACATCTGGCGGTAGCTAAATAGCTAGGTTCTGCAAAGTTCGTAGCAGAGCAAGTCTCATGAATAGCCATACAGATACCATATTGCCCGGTAGCCGAATAGATTAGACCCACGATTACCATGTTAGGTTCTAATTTTAACGCAGTTTTACCGCACTTGGTCGCAGTTATGGCGATCTTTTCTTTGTCCACTTCTTTCTAACCATCACCGTTCGACACTTATACTAGGGGACATCTCCTGAGTGTTTGTTCACATTAACAAAAAAAAAAAAAAAAAACAAAAAAAAGGATCTATTAGACGCACCATCAAATCCTTCCTCCTCCTCCTTTTTTACTCAACAGGCAATACCAGGCAGGAGCATCGACTGTGTTAGAATATTTCTGAAGCGAACTGATAACATGTACACTGATAATTCGCTGTATTCTTGCTTATTCATCACGCGGTCGGTGAACGATTTCAATAAATTTAAGATTCAATGAATTTAGTGATCATCCTTGTTTCGGTCGCGTGGCAGTTTCTTCACTACCTCCTTTAAAATAATGATATCATTACATATGTAAATACAGTATACCCATGTGGGGCTTTGGTCGGGTGTTGTTTCCATTCGGTTATTACTTACCTTTGAATTTTTTCAAACCGTTCAACGTTCATTCGGAAGTTTTTTGCTACGAAAGTGAAAGTAATGTTAATACTGCCGCTCTATGAAGTATTTGGCTAGTTCAATTTTCTCAAGTAAAAGTTTTGCGAACATAGCCGCGGGATAAAGAAATGGTCATACAGATAGAAAAAGTTATTCATTTTAGTATGGCGATTGAAAATCGAAGCGTTTTCGCCCGCGCTCGCTAAAATGCAGTTATGAGGTATTACTATTGATATACAAACCTGTAGATTGAGGAGACTTTAATAATGAGTTTTTAAAGTATAAGAAATCAAGTAGAAATTTCATATATTAAATATTTATGCGATTTGGTAGTATGGACGTGTGCAGTATAAACGAAATAAAATCTCTCTTTGTTCTTTATTGGCCATGATGTTCTCTACACATCACTTTAATACCACTTGTCATTGACGTGCACTGAAAGCAGTTATTAAGATTTCAAATGCGCTAAAGCGCAGGGTTGATTTAATTTGATTATGTTTAATGCATTGTTTCATATTGAATACTACTGTTACTACTGCTGCTCCTATTACTACTACTATTACTATTACTACTACTACTACTACTATTAATACTACTGCCACCACTGTTTTCCCATTACGAAGAACAGTCAGTGTATTAAGTAAAGATTTTGTACACGATAGCTGTGATTACATTGAAACAGTAGGTTTTTATGCACATGTAAAAGATATCATGCCATATAGATTGACAGTTATGTTCGTAAGAATAATATTGAAAGCACAATAACAATAATATTGTAATAAATAACAAACGTAGGAAAAAAAGGCAATATAATCACTTCCTTACGTATCCATACAAACAGGAATCCCTGTAGGCAATGAACCATATTGGAGGGGGTCAATTACTCTGGCTTTCAGCAGTTTAACATAAGAACAAGAAAGTTGAGACATGAACATAAAAAACAATCAACAAAATAAGTACACGGCGAACTGACGAGCAAACAAACAACAGCAATAATAAGAGCAGCATGAAAAAAAGCAAAGATTACATATTAATTTTTTGCTTCGTTTTTTGCCTTTGTAGCTAAGAACCACAGTAGTACGGTACATTTTGGGAGCAGGACTTATTCAGAGCAATGACAATCAGAGAAAGAATGATTGCATAAAAAGAGACGGATAGAAGATATAGATGGAAAATGGAGAACTATATTCGAAACTTTTGTTCCCACTATAGGTATGTATACGAATATGTATATATGTGTTGTTATCAATTATTATAATTTGACTACCATTAGCATAGTTAGCATTTGTTTTTTTCATATTTATTTATATATTTTTATTAACGTTAGTGTTCCCAATTAGTTAGCAACGTATGGATCAATATTTTCAAAGTTGCAAATTTAACTTATTAAATAGACTCAATCCTTGTTACAATCATCAAGGGGCTAGCTCAAATCAAGAAGAATATCTTGTCGATCAAAACTTATTTACGGTTAAATTATTTACCTTACGAACAGCATTAGCTATTCCTTGCAAGTTATACCTCAATGATTATCGAAAACGTTAAGTGACTGTTTTGCAATTTCTTAACTATATTACCAGTGAGTTGGCATGTTTTTTGTATGAATTATTTCGCAACTATCCCAAAATAGGCGGATCAAAATTGCAAGAGTGCGTAATGGAAAAGTTTCATTATTGGTGCGCCTGAAGGCCTTTGTATCGGTTATCTAAAATAAATATGTATATGTATAACTAATTAAATTTTCCTAATAGGTTATTATTAAGTGCTTATAAAAGATGCCTTAAATCAAATCGTTTGACTCGACATTTGTTTGAGAAAGGCTCTTAGCTCTGCTAAGTAGGTTTATACGTGGACACATAGCGTACGAATTAACAAAATTAGTATACCTCTACTTTCATATGCGGGATATAAAAGCGTACATATCTACATAATACATGCAGGCTCAGTATTGATGAAAAACGATCAATTGTGGTTGATTGTCCTGCTGTTGTGGTTGTTTCTTTTTACATTCGTACGGTTATAGCGTGATTGGATTTTTTTTTTACTAATACTTTTTCTCTGTCGCTGAACTTGAGTTAAAGTTTTATAGTGTACAACAAGTTCACAATCGAATATAGAATGGAATTAATGGATAAAGAAAGAGACAAACATTTCAATAGTTACATGTTTATGTATACGATGTATACGATGAATTAAATT